TATCGGTAGTCAATGTTTTAGATACCGGTATGTACCGAATGGTATTACCGGTAATACCGGATACCGGTGGTCTAACCAGTATGGTTACCCTTTAAATACTGTTTTGACCAAAATATCTGTTTATACCGGCTTCATACCGGAAAATACCGACCAAAATATCGGTTAAAATACCGAGTATACCCGGTTTCTTTAAAAAATTATTTTGTAACATATTTTATTTAATTTATTTATATAAGTAAAAAGTTCTACACTTAATTTTAATATCACCAAAATTCTGATTTATTCTCAAAGAGACGAAGAAATAGATTCATCAACGGCAAGCACCAGTTTAACCTGGGGTGGTGGTGATTTAGTAGCAGTGGGCGGCAACGTGGCATTGTTACTTATTCCATTAGGAACCGCGGATTTTTTGGTGCATCATACATTGTTATCATATTTTAGTTAATTTTTGTATTTATTATATTTAGTTTTATACATTATTTATATTATAATAATAGATTAATTTAATATTTATTAAAAATGATAAAATAGACAGTAAAACTGGTTGAACTAATTGAACCGTGTACCGGTGGCTCGTTCCGTATGATCACCGATATGGTATTTAAAACATTGTGAGTAGTAGCTACACTCTTTCCTTTTATCAAGTAGTGGCCGACCTTGGGCCCAATAAAATAGTGATCCTAAAATATTTCGGCCCAACAAAACTTTGCACTATGTCCAATGGATACGGTTTCCAGTTTGGAGGGATGGAGCGCTTGTGTAGATGACTTTCTAATCCCAATAACTCTTAATTAAAAGCGTTATTATCAATATTGTAAACCTTTTGGTTTTGGGTAATGTCCCATTGAACACACGTCGCAATCTGTTGCACTACTTTTTCTCCATTGCAACACCGTAGTTATTGACCCCTTCTCACTTTTTATTCCGAAAATACCCTTCTTACAACTGCCCACTCAGTACCCTCCCCAGACCCATTTTCGCCATTTGGTAACAACTCAAAACTAAAAATAAACATTTCCACGCCTAATTTTCCAACTGGCTCAGCAGTCTGTACTTTTTGATTTTTCCTCTATGACTCTCTCTCTCTCTAGAGATTAGACAAAAACCTTGTCTCCAATGTATCATGCACCCACCAACTGTGTAACTGCGTTCTAGTTTCTTGTTCAAAGACTTTAGTATTTTTTTTTTTATTTTCCCTTTGCCGGTTTCTGTCCGGTTGCAGTACGGGAAGGTTTTTTTTTTATTCTTTTTGGGCTTTTTTGATGGGAGGAATGATGGCGGTGGATGTAGCGTTGGAGTTCCTAGTACCGTCTTGGTGGGAGTTGCAAGTCGCCCTGGCGGCGGCGGCGTTTCTGGTCGTGGCGTACTGGTTCTTCGCCGTGGGTGGCGGTGATGGATGTGGCTCCGATGATCGGGTGTTCTCGGATGGCCCCGGCGCCGGCGCTGCGGACACGATTGATGATAAGGATAAGGTCATCCCATCGAACTCATTTTACTTTTGATTTTGATGTTGAT